GAGTGGTAGCATCATTTTACAGATGGCTGCACATTTGTGAAGTGTGAAGTATGTTCAAGTAGGCCCTCAACAAGCAGAAATGGTGAAGTCACTGACTGTATGAAAACTTATATCATGCAGATATACAGATACACTGTATCAGCATTCGAGAACACGGATGAGGCGGGAATACTTCTTTTTATAGTTCATGCCTTGAGGTAAAGATAATCTTGTCTTTCTACATCCTTTTATCTCATTGACTGCCGTTTATTTCCGACTCAGATATTCTTCCCTACCATGATGGTAGACTGTTTAATTTCTTCTCTCGTCTCCCTCTGACTCTATTCTATTTCAACTTTCCCACTGTCAAAACAATGTTGTTTGCCTTTTTCTGATGAGGGACACACAGTTAGTTGCATTACCTTTACTGACATCACAAAATAACTCCAGCATTTCTTCTTTCTCCTTCTTCATCTTCTTCTTCTTTCTCTTCTTGTTCTTCATCCTTTTCTTCTTCTTTCTTTTCTTCTTCTTCGTCTTTTTTCCTCTTCTTCTTCTCTTCTTCCTCCTCCTTCTTTTTCTTGACTTCGAGGCATTATTTGGCTGTTTGTAGTTTTAGCTGACAATGTAAGCTTCATTAATGGTTTGCCACCGCCTTTTAACTCTTTAAGGCCCGAACAACACTGTGAGTGTTGATTGAAAAGATCAAATTTTCCAAAACAACACTGCAAGTGTGAATCGTGTGCCCCGTACATATTGCTTCGCACACGGCTCTGTATTTGTTTCTAATGTTCGGATCTACCATTGAAGTATTCAGGGAATGTTACTCTAAAACTTTTCTGTAAATAACATTATGTGTTCTAAGACGCATGGGCATATTGATCCGATTCATAGATAGCTAGCGTTGAACTGTGCACTTTCTAAGTTTTCAAGTGCCATGTTTATCAACGTTCCAAACACAAGTACAGGCCGCAAAATGCGTCTTTCTGTTGCCGAAACTCAGAAATGTTATAGTTCTGATAATGATAATGAAAACTTAGATTTTTCAAAAAGTAATTCGGACAGTGAATTTACACCAGCAGCAGTTAAGCAATCAGCTGTTTGGGAATCTAGCGATTCTGATGAGTTTACACAGACAATGTCTAACTGCTACCATATTTATGGTGTAAGAAAAGGAAAGTGCTCCAAATAGTAGTATACTATGCTTAAGCTACATTGATATCATTGCAGCTTCAGTCTGTATATAACTGTACAAAGTAACCAGTAAATAGTGGGTGTGTGTGTGTGTGCGTAATGACCCATTTTTCTGCCATCTTTTCTCTGAAATTTTGCTCAGCACTCGGTGAGAACTAAGAGCCCCTGAGTGCTAAACTAACCCAGAAACTTATCCTAACTTTGGAATTTGTTAGGAAACTGAACAAACTTGAATGTATTATTCTCAAATTTGGATATTCACCGCACTTGTGGCTGTAAAACCATGGTAAGTTAAAAAATAATTTTTGGCAAAATTATGTTGTTGTGAAAGCAAAACATGCTGAATTCTTCTTTAGTACTAACTATAAAAAAGTTGGAAGATGTGAACCAGCGTCACTGCACACAGTTATAAACCATAAGTGTTCTGCCATCAGTATGGAAGCTGATAAGAAACTGTCCACCTGTGTCGCTGTCAACATGCAACTCTGTAGCTACAGCATTGTTCCTCCATTTACCCTAGAGTGTGAACTCTGATACCCATTACCTAGAGGCTGGGTGATACCGGGAATCGTCCAGTTCCGAACACTGGCCGTGGACTGAAGTGAGTCGCAGCTGGAATTGAAACTGAGTCTCCTATCGATTTCGCTAACCCTTCAACGCCCTACTAACTATAACAGTATTAAACATATATGTATCATCATATTCACAATGTACATTCACTTCTCCCTTAAAAAAATATCTACTTTTGTAGTGATTAGAAATATATTACTTTCTCTATTGCTTTTTTTTAGCACCACCCTCTGCTCTAATGGAAATTATTGTGGGCTAAGTCTGTCAAAATTTATGGGCCTGAAAGAGTTAAATGGTCCAACAATTGCATCATTGTCAAAATTAAAGCAAAGTGAACTGCTGCCAAACAGCAAGCAGCTGAATGAGAAAACTGTGTTCATAACCCTTATATCACAGTGATCAACAGACAGGACACAAAACATTAAAATATGTATTCTTCATAGCAGAGCAGTGCAAATATTGACTGTTATAATTATACATTATAAATCTGACAATATAAATATACTATTTAACATTTCAGCTGAAGAAAGAGCAAACATGAATTATGCTCATTAAATAAAATATCAAAACAATGCAAACAGAACTATGACTTCTTCTTCTTCAGCATTCTGAGCCCTTGAGGTTCATTGCTGCATATATCAGCCGCCTCCACTCATTTTCTGGTTGGCTTTCTCTTTCCTGTTGGTGACACCAAGTGTTTACAGGTCTGTCTGGATATTATCTCTCCATCTTCTTCTTGGTCTGCCTGGTGGTCTACGACCATTCATCTCCCTTGTGTATACAGTTTTTACTTCTCTGTCATCTGACATTCTCTCTAATATGCCCTAACCATTTCAGTCTATTAGCTTTCATAATTCCAATGATCAGTGGTGATTTAAACAGATTATGAATTTCATTGTTGCTTCTCACTCTTCATTTCACGCTTCCTTTGCATCTTTGACTGGTCCAAAGATTCATCGTAAGACTATTTTTCAGAACCTGTAATAAGGCTTCATCTCTTTTAGTTGTGCTCCAAGTTTCAAAGCCATGTAAAAATGACTGAAGTATGACTAGATTGTTCAATATACAACTTCACATTTTTAAACAACTGCCAGCATTTCACTCACTCCCAAATTTGCAATTAACAATTCCACCATAAATAATTGCTTAAGATTCTTTTAAATCTCAAACATAAAAAAAATTAAAAAAACATGGTGTCATATTTAAGCCTCTTATTTCACAGCAAAGAGAGAGCCACAGGGTTGAGGTGATAAATTAAATGTAAAATATTTGTGCAAAGCAAGCTAATGAAAGAACAAGACTAATGCAAAGTCCTCTTCCACTTGTGCTGATAAAAAGAATGAACACAAAAGAGCAAAGCAACTCTGAAGGTCAGAAAAAGGAAAGATGCATAATTTCTGAAGTTTTACAAACCTGATTAGATGCAATGGAATATGCCAGGCAATAAACTGGACGCCATGATTTGTTTGTGTTTTTATCCTTAATTACCCCATGAAAGTAATGGATTGGGGAGTGGGGGGGGGGGGGGGGGGGGGGCATGCAGATCTTCTGTGCGTTCTTTCTGATGCACTGTATATGCAAATCTTTATTCTTTAACTCTTTCAGTCCCAGGAGGTTTAGCATCAGAAGCCAATGAGGTAGTAAACTGAGATGTAAAATCCATGCCTCTTGCTTTCACTGGGCTTAAGGCAGGAACTTATAAACATAATTGATGCATTGCCTGGGAATGAAAGAGTTAAAGCTGTCCTTGATGCCGTTGTCCCGTATTTTGCTCGGTCTTCCCCTAGCTCAGTGTTTATTATATCTCTTCAACGTGATTTTCTGTGGCAATTGGTACCACAGCAGTCTCATTAGATGACCAAACCATCTCATCTGTTACTCTTTAATAAACTGTAATCCATTACTCTTTAATGAACTAGCTGACTAGTCTTCTTCGAAATGTCTTTTTCATGCTTCAAATATTTAAGTCAAGCCAAACTTTGGGCTTTTTACTGTTTGCTGGTAAATCAGAAGCAGAACTTTATATCTCCCTTGACACTAGAAGCGGTAAAAGAGAAAGTGAAGAACAACACACATGATTTTTAACTGATGGGGATTTAACTGTTTAACTGATAGAGCATTTACCTGTTTAACACACAGGGCCATTAACTGTTTAACTAATAGAGCATTTACCTGTTTAACACACAGGGCCATTAACTGTTTAACTGATAGAGCATTTACCTGTTTAACACACAGGGCCATTAACTGTTTAACTGATAGAGCATTTACCTGTTTAACACACAGGGCCATTAACTGTTTAACTACAGAGCAAGACATTTAAATGTACACCTCATAGGTATTTAACTGTTTGACACTTTTTGTGCCATACAGTTTTTGGCTGCTCTAAAGATCATACACTGCTCTTGCATTCTTCTATCACAGATTGTTGTCTCTTCGACCCATTCTAACCAAAATGACAGTTAAACTGCTCATTCGGAAGCAACAGCAGAAAAGAATCAAGAAATGAAGGAGCAGTAGAAAAAGTGGATGAAGCTGCAGAAGTAGAAACAGCAGCAGCAAAAATAGAAGCAACAACAGTAGATGATTTAGAATAAGAAGCAGCAGCAACATAATAAGCAGAAACAGCAGCAGTGGCAGAAGCAACAACAGAACAAGCAGAAACAGCAGCAGTAGCAGAAGCAACAACAGAACAAGCAGAAACAGCAGCAGCAGCAGAAGCAACAATAGAATAAGCAGAAACAGCAGCAGCAGCAGAAGCAACAACGGAACAAGCAGAAACAGCAGCAGTAGCAGAAGCAACAACAGAATAAGCAGAAACAGCAGCAGTAGCAGAAGCAACAACACCACAAGCAGAAACAGCAGCAGTGGCAGAAGCAACAACAGAATAAGCAGAAACAGCAGCAGTAGCAGAAGCAACAACAGAACAAGCAGAAACAGCAGCAGTGGCAGAAGCAACAACAGAACAAGCAGAAACAGCAGCAGTAGCAGAAGCAAAAACAGAATAAACACAAAGTAGAAGCAGCAGCAGCAGAAGCAACAAAAGAATAAGCAGAAAAAAAGCAGCAGTGGCAGAAGCTACAGCAAAGGATTAGGGAAAAAACAATAAACAGTAGCAACAGAAGAAGAAACAGCAGTAATTAATACAACAAAATAATATCAAAACTTCATCACAGCAACAACAACAAAAATATAAAAAAATAAACACGAAATGAACAACTGACAAAATTGCATCAATTATAATATCAGATATACTCAGATCACTGGCAGATGGCTTTCTCGAAGCGGTTAGCTCTGTAGGCTGTCTTGACCTGCTCGCGTAGATACGTGATAAAACCATCCTTTTTTAAATCAATTGTGATAACCTGTGCAGAAAGAAGGAACGAGAACATGTTTAAACACAAGTAACAAACTCCTTGAACATGAAAGTATATGAGGCGGGAGAGCAAGCGAGAGACCGAGTTTCTTTCAGGCAGACGGTGATGACAGCGATGTTCTGCAAAGGACCTGCTACATGATGATGAACAAGCTTCTCCCAAAAATAAAGACCGATGATGGTTTCAAAAACATACATCAGTCAGGTGTTATTTCCACAATAAAGGCTGGCTGCAATAAATAAATCTCAGTATTTTTTTTTGGGGGGGGGGGGGGGGGGGTCTTCCTCTCTGGATCAAACTTTCTAAATGATGATCATCATCAACACAATATAATAATCACTGCAATAATGATAGTCTTCCTCTTCTTAGCATAACCGGCTGTAAATTCTGTTGTAATGTTCTGGTTGTTTGTCCACTTCTGGACTTTGGTCTTGTTTTAGAACCTAAGTTTTGCATGCATAATCATGTTACTGATCTGGCTTATCTTTATGTAGACTGTTGGTTCTTTGCTTCTCAGGCAGATTAACTGCAACTTTGAAGGAAGCATTCTCATACTACATGCTTGTTCAGGTATGCATTTCTAGTGGCGAATATTGGCTTTGGCGCCTCTAGCAACTGAAATTTACATTCACTGCGTGCGCATATTTCTGAATTGCTCTAGAACTAATTATTTGTTCACCAGTTTTTAAAATGCAACAGTGAGGGACATTTCATTTGATTTGCACTGGCACAGGAACAGAGCAAGTATGGGGAAACTTGATTGCAGTGATGTTGAAACCTTGACTAAAACTAAGACATGATAGTGAGGATGATGGTGATGATGATGATGATGATGATGATGATGACGACGACGACGACGATGTACTGTGCTATCACTGACCTGTCCACCACGTGTTATGGCCAGGATTCCCTGTGTGTTGGTATTCAGCACTGCAGCAAAGATGACATCCACAGCGACCCGGGTACAGCACAGACACATGGCCGTTTCCATGTCACACATGTACAGGTAGCCATACTTGGTGACCACAAACAGCAGGCCATAGTCCACCGAGATCTGCAGGGACACATTCCACAGGTAAGGTTAGTTGCGTATCCTTTACAGGACGTTGCAGAACCAACCCCAGCAGCCCCTGGCTGTTGTTTGGTTTCTGTTGTTTGGTTGTTTGGCATTTACGTCCAGTAGTTTGCAACTGCTTTCTAGATGGTCGGCCCCCTGATCCCATTGTCGAAACCAACGCAAGGCGCATGGCCCACAGCTGGAATCGATTCCGGCATTACAAAGAGTTTGCATCGACTTAGCAACAGAGCCGACCATTCTACAGTAAGTCCATTATAAATACAGGCACTTCTTCACTAATTCAACTAAAACAAAGGTTTGGCTTTCTGAAGTAACTACATTTTCCTCTTCTTCATGTCCTGCACTTAAAAAAGAAGCTGCTTACTGAAGTAACTACATTTTCCTCTTCTTCATGTCCTGCACTTTAAAAGGAATCTGGCATGTTGTGTTGTGGTTTACAGATAGGGTTCAATATATTTGCACCTTTCAGCAACACATCTGACTTCATCAAGCATTTGTTGACCGGGTTAACTTTCCAGACGTTTTGGACAGGTTGTGGCCTTATCTGTGTGGTGTTTATAAATGCAGAGCCGACATATGACGCTCTAGACCTGGGCTCACCCAAGGAATCGTCACGTCCTGCACATGTCTGCTTAATCTCACATCCATATGTTGGGCTTTCATATCATGATAGGCTGCACCCACCAGATATCAGCAGGGAGCAACCCGTAGGTCAAGGACACTGATGGCCACACATACAGGTGCATTTTTCTTCAGCACGTTAGACACCTTTAATGTTGTTTCATCTGGAAACAGCAAGACAATACAGAAGAAGCACACATCCAGCATGGCTCTCCCTTTTAGGTCCCGGACTCTGTTGAGTGGGGCCAGTAGTAACAGGCATGTGAGCACTAGTCAGCTTTTAGGTGCCACACTTTGAGAGAGTGGGGCCAATGTTAACAGGTATGTGATCACTAGTCAGCTTTTAGGTCCCAGACTCTGGTGAGTGGGGACAATGGTAACGGGTATGTCAGCACTAGTCAGCTTTTAGGTCCCAGACTCTGGTGAGTGGGGCCAGTAGTAACAGGCATGTGAGCACTAGTCAGCTTTTAGGTGCCACGCTTTGAGAGAGTGGGGCCAATGTTAACAGGTATGTGATCACAAGTCAGCTTTTAGGTCCCAGACTCTGGTGAGTGGGAACAATGGTAACAGGTATGTCAGCATTAGTCAGCTTTTAGGTCCCAGACTCTGGTGAGTGGGGACAATGGTAACGGGTATGTCAGCACTAGTCAGCTTTTAGGTCCCAGACTCTGGTGAGTGGGGACAATGGTAACGGGTATGTCAGCACTAGTCAGCTTTTAAAACATGCTTGTTAAGGGGCAGTGGATGTATACCCCCCCCCCCCCCTTCCCAGTGAGTCTCCAAAATCAATAAGGAGACCTGAGGCAACTTAATACAGTAACACCTCATTAACACAAATTCCAGGAGGCCAAAAAAATCAATAGTTTGTGTCCAAAAACAACGAAATGTGTGCTAATTGGGGAATAAACATATGTATCATGAAAAAAACAACCTTACTTGAACCCACATTTCGTTAATGTTAACTAAGTGTTCGAGTTAACCCTTTCACCCCGGTTTCATCCTTGGTTTAGCAAAAAACAATGCTTGTATTCTAAAACTGCGGGTTGTCTCAAATCAATATTCCTTTAAAAAAATAAAAACTGTTTACAGAGATCACACAAAAAATCACAACAATTCCAATTATGAACCAAAACAATAAATAATTGCCCAACAAATAATGGTGGCCATGTGATAAACACAAATCGGGCAGAGAACTGACTGTGTTACATTTCTATGAGCTTTAACAAAAATAATTTTGTGTGACCCATTGTTGACCCTGTGTCCTGGGCGCCAGTTAGCAATGTAACTAATGGGAAAGTCCTAATTTCTATAAACAAAACCATTTTCCACAAGGAAACCCTCAAAGAAATGCTATTTTTACCAACTATCCTTGTTACCGGTCATTCTAAAAAATTTGCTAAAGAAAAAATGGAAGCAATGCTGATTGTGGGGCTCTTTGTAAAGAAGCCTCTATCGCAAGACAGGAACAGGACATTTAAGGGGGCTGTGTCACAAACCAGAAGCCCCGGTCTCGTGCTTCTTGTGGCGAGAGAGTTCAGCAAGGTTGTGTTAATGAGGTTTTACTGTACAACAAAAACTGTGACTCTACAGAAAAAATTCATACAGCAATCATCATGTGCCATCTCCATAATAAAGACTGACTGCAACAGATCACCAAAATTCTGTCTCTTGTCCTGGTTGTATACTCCCTAAGACTCCTGCTCATCCATCTCCTGATGAAGTCCTTCCATGTGTATCGCCATCTGCCTCTTCCTTGCCTGCTTTCATCCAGTATTGTTTTGATAAGAATGTTAAGTCTTCTAATGTGGCCATAGTTTGGTATTGTTTTTTTCTTCATACATGATGGTCAATGTTTCACAGCATGGATCTGAAGAACAGTGGTGCTAGACCAACTTGCTTCCTAATATAATTGTTTTTAATCTCATAAACCCTTCTTCTTCTCTGATGTTATCTTCCAATATATTCTTGGTCTACCTCTTGCTCTACATCCATCTCCTCTTTTGGTATATGCATTGTATGGTATAGCATCGGAAGGCATTCTCTCCAAGAGGGCAAACCATTTGATTTGCGGTCTTTCTCTTCTCTCATAACCAACCAAATAATCCAGAAACTGGTATCTTGGACAAAATGAAATTTTGTTTACAGTCGGAGTGCATCTGTTCGAAAGACACTAAATCAATCATCTGCATAAGAATAAGTCAGATCTGTAGAACAGATATGCATGCAACACTCAAGTTCTGGAACAAGACTTAAATCCAGAGGTGAACAAATAACCAGAATTTTCCAAGGAGGATTACAGCCAGTGAACACGAAGGAGAAGGAGGATAAAATGAAGGATGAAATCAGGTCCTTAGTCAGCAATGAGCAGTTCTCAGTCAGCAATGAGCAGTCCTCAGTCAGCAATGAGAAGTTCTCAGTCAGCAATGAGCAGTCCTCAGTCAGCAATGAGAAGTTCTCAGTCAGCAATGAGCAGTCCTCAGTCAGCAATGAGAAGTTCTCAGTCAGCAATGAGCAGTCCTCAGTCAGCAATGAGAAGTTCTCAGTCAGCAATGAGCATTACCTGCAGTGATACAGGGAAGTCATACCGCTCCAGGTCATCTAGAAAATGCAGATGGTCATAACAGTTTCTTGGAGCAAAGTTGCCCAGCTTGTACGGGCCTAGCTCGATGACATGGACCTGCAATTACACACATGACAGTATGGTCATACATGAAACATGATTCTCTGGTTTAGAGGTCAGTAAATGCATTTCACAATCTTCGACATACCAGGGTTCAATTTGAGGCAGTGCAGATACAGTCTGTTCTCAAATCTGTTGTGCACGGTGTGAGAGTCACATCTTGGAAGAGACTGGATTGGGAGTGGGAGAGTGGAGGGGTCTCAGATTATAAAATTCCTCAAAAAACAGTAGACGCACACACCTTCTGCAGCCAAGCTCTATTGCGTTGATGGCTAAATTTTATTTTAAAAAATGAAACTCTTCTTCTTCTTCTTCTTCTGCGTTCATCCGAAGATGTAATTGCGTTGTCTGTTTACAGATATTTGCACCTTTCGGCCAACACATCTGACTTCTGCGGGCATTTGTTGACCGGGTTAGCCTTCCCGGAAAAAATGAAATGAAATTCACCAGAGTGAAACAAATCTATCACTTAACACCAAAGTATCACCTACACTCACTCAATACTAAAGCCACATGCTACTCACTAAACAGACTTACCTTCACACCCCTAAATACTGATTCCCTACCTTCACACCCCTAAATACTGATTCCCTACCTTCAAACCCCTAAATACTGATTCCCTACCTTCAAACCCCTAAATACTGATTCCCTACCTTCACACCCCTAAATAGTGATTCCCTACCTTCACACCCCTAAATACTGATGCCTTACCTTCACACCTCTAAATACTGATTCCCTACCTTCACACTCCTAAATACTGATGCCTTACCTTCACACCTCTAAATACTGATTCCCTACCTTTACACCTCTAAATACTGATTCCCTACCTTCAAATCCCTAAATACTGATGCCTTACCTTCACACCTCTAAATACTGATGCCTTACCTTCAAACCCCTAAATACTGATGCCTTACCTTCAAACCCCTAAATACTGATGCCTTACCTTCAAACAACTAAATACTGATGCCTTACCTTCACACCTCTAAATACTGATGCCTTAACTTCAAACCCCTAAATACTGATGCCTTACCTTCACACCTCTAAATACTGATGACTTACCTTCAAACCCCTAAATACTGATGACTTACCTTCAAACCCCTAAATACTGATGACTTACCTTCCCAGCCCTAAATACTGATGCCTTACCTTCCCATGATCCTGAGCCTCTCTGGAGCTGACACAGAAGACTGTGGATGGGTAAGGGTTGCCAGGGAAGTGGTAGCTGGAGAAGCAGACGGCGTGGGCACTGATGCACTGAGTGATCTCTTCATCTCTGTTGTACAGCTGCGCCACACCTGAGATTCGGTCATCCTGAAGTGAAAACATTTCTGGGGTTACTAGGACCATGTTGGCAGCAAGGAACAGTAACTCTGTAACCACGTATGTTGTTTCCAGAGACATAAGGGAAGCAAGGAACAGTAACTTTGTAACCACGTATGTTGTTACCAAGGACATAAGTGAAGCAAGGAACAGTAACTCTATAACCATGTATGTTGTTACCAAGGACATAAGGGAACCAAGGAACAGTAACTTTGTAACCATGTATGTTGCTACCAAGGACATAAGGGAAGCAAGGAACAGTAACTCTATAACCATGTATGTTGTTACCAAGGACATAAGGGAAGCAAGGAACAGTAACTCTATAACCATGTATGTTGCTACCAAGGACATAAGGGAAGCAAGGAACAGTAACTCTATAACCATGTATGTTGTTACCAAGGACATAAGGGAACCAAGGAACAGTAACTCTGTAACCATGTATGTTGTTACCAGGGACATAAGGGAAGCAAGGAACAGTAACTCTGTAACCATGTATGTTGTTACCAAGGACATAAGGGAAGCAAGAAACAGTAACTCTATAACCATGTATGTTGTTACCAAGGACATAAGGGAAGCAAGGAACAGTAATTCTGTAACCATGTATGTTGTTACCAGGGACATAAGGGAAGCAAGGAACAGTAACTCTATAACCATGTATGTTGTTACCAAGGACATAAGGGAAGCAAGGAACAGTAATTCTGTAACCATGTATGTTGTTACCAGGGACATAAGGGAAGCAAGGAACAGTAACTTTGTAACCACGTATGTTGTTACCAAGGACATAAGGAAAGCAAGGAACAGTAACTCTGTAACTATGTATGTTGTTACCAAGGACAAAGGAGAAGCAAGGAACAGTAACTCTATAACCATGTATGTTGTTACCAAGGACATAAGGGAAGCAAGGAACAGTAACTCTGTAACCATGTATGTTGTTACCAAGGACATAAGGGAACCAAGGAACAGTAACTTTGTAACCACGTATGTTGTTACCAAGGACATAAGGGAAGCAAGGAACAGTAACTCTATAACCATGTATGTTGTTACCAAGGAGATAAGGAAAGCAAGGAACAGTAACTCTGTAACTATGTATGTTGTTACCAAGGACAAAGGAGAAGCAAGGAACAGTAACTTTGTAACCACGTATGTTGTTACCAAAGACATAAGGGAAGCCAGAAACAGTAACTCTGTAACAATGTATGTTGTTACCAAGGACATAAGGGAAGCAAGGAACAGTAACTCTGTAACCATGTATGTTGTTACCAAGGACATACGGGAAGCAAGGAACAGTAACTTTGTAACCACGTATGTTGTTACCAAGGACATAAGGAAAGCAAGGAACAGTAACTCTATAACCATGTATGTTGTTACCAAGGAGATAAGGAAAGCAAGGAACAGTAACTCTGTAACTATGTATGTTGTTACCAAGGACAAAGGAGAAGCAAGGAACAGTAACTCTATAACCATGTATGTTGTTACCAAGGACATAAGGGAAGCAAGGAACAGTAACTCTGTAACTATGTATGTTGTTACCAAGGACAAAGGAGAAGCAAGGAACAGTAACTCTGTAACCATGTATGTTGTTACCAGGGACATAAGGGAAGCAAGGAACAGTAACTCTACAACCATGTATGTTGTTACCAGGGACATAAGGGAAGCAAGGAACAGTAACACTGTAACTATGTATGTTGTTACCAAAGACATAAGGGAAGCAAGGAACAGTAACACTGTAACCATGTATGTTGTTACCAAAGACATAAGGGAAGCAAGGAACAGTAACTCTGTAACCATGTATGTTGTTACCAAAGACATAAGGGAAGCAAGGAACAGTAACTCTGTAACCATGTATGTTGTTACCAAAGACATAAGGGAAGCAAGGAACAGTAACTCTGTAACCATGTATGTTGTTACCAAGGACATAAGGGAAGCAAGGAACAGTAACTCTATAACCATGTATGTTGTTACCAAGGAGATAAGGGAAGCAAAGAACAGTAACTCTGTAACCATATATGTTGTTACCAGGGACAAAGGGGAAGCAAGGAACAGTAACTCTGTAACCATGTATGTTGTTACCAGGGACATAAGGGAAGAAGCAAGGAACAGTAACTCTACAACTATGTACGTTGTTACCAGGGACATAAGGGAAGCAAGGAACAGTAACACTGTAACTATGTATGTTGTTACCATGGACAAAGGGGAAGCAAGGAACATTAACACTGTAACTATGTATCTTGTTACCAGGGACAAAGGGGAAGCAAGGAACAGTAACGCTGTAACCATGTATGTTGTTACCAAGGACATAAGGGAAGCAAGGAACAGTAACTCTGTAATCATGTATGTTGTTACCAAGGAGATAAGGGAAGCAAAGAACAGTAACTCTGTAACCATATATGTTGTTACCAGGGACAAAGGGGAAGCAAGGAACAGTAACTCTGTAACCATGTATGCTGTTACCAAGGACATAAGGGAAGCAATGTTGAATGCAGAATTAAGAATCAACATCACAGCCCTCATGACACTCCTATAAGCGTTCTGTTCATCTTCAGCTGCAAGTGCAGAGTTTCAAACTGATGGTACCAGTGACAGTCTGACTGCATCATCATCATCATGTCTTGCCTTTTCCCTGAGTGCTCAGCGTCAACTAGATTCACTGGTCACTCCTCGCAGCACCATTCTCCTCAGACCATGATGATCTATCCATCTGTGCCTCCCCACTGTTCATTCACTCCCATAAGACGCTAGTAGTATGAAGTCTATATAACACAGTCAATTGTAGTATGAAGTCTATATAACACAGTCAATTGTAGTATGAAGCCTATATAACACAGTCAATTGTAGTGTGAAGTCTATATAACACAGTCAATTGTAGTATGAAGTCTATATAACACAGTCAATTGTAGTATGAAGTCTATATAACACAGTCAATTGTAGTATGAAGTCTATTTAACACAGTCAATTGTAGTATGAAGTCTATATAACGCAGTCAGTTGTAGTGTGAAGTCTATATAACACAGTCAATTGTAGTGTGAAATCTATATAACACAGTCAATTGTAGTATGAAGTCTATATAACACAGTCAATTGTAGTGTGGAATCTATATAACACAGTCAATTGTAGTGTGAAATCTATATAACACAGTCAATTGTAGTATGAAGTCTATATAACACAGTCAATTGTAGTGTGAAATCTATATAACACAGTCAATTGTAGTGTGAAGTCTATATAACACAGTCAATTGTAGTGTGAAATCTATATAACACAGTCAATTGTAGTATGAAGTCTATATAACACAGGCAACTGTAGCGTGAAGTCTATCAATGATCTTCTCCTATAATCACAAAGATGTTAGTTCCTGCTGAGATACCTACCTCTGGAGTGAGTCCAGTCAGAGCCAGCCAGCGGAGACTTGGGTCAGCTTTGTAGCTGACAATCTCACTGAAGGCCAGCCTGCTGTGCCGATGGAACACCAGTTCTGGCTGGGCAGAAGCTGTTATCAAAAACAATACAAAGTCATACCATATCTCTTCTGACGCAAGGAAAGATACTTTTGTCTACCAAGGCAAATCTCAGAATAACAATTTTTATGCCAGCATTATGCTACCAGTTGCAGCCCCCCTGCTATAACTGCTAGATGTGTGCCTGTGGATCTGGAGATCGTGGGTTCAAATCCAAATGGAGCTTTTTTTTTTTTTTCTCCAAACATGACTTTGGTTCCCAGGTTAACCTAGCTTTATATCAGTAGCAGATGAAGTCCTGGGAAGTAAAGGCAGCTGGCATGGTACTGACCACACCACCTATTGAGAGCCTATTGATCTAAGCCAGCATTTCCGAAACTGTTTGGCCCACCAAGCAAGTGTTTTCCAAACTGTTTGGCTCACCAAGCCAGCATTTCCCAAACTGTTTGGCTCACCGAATTCTTTACAGTGAAAAAACAAAGCCCAGTGCCCCCCTCTCCCTGGAAATATCATCATCATCATGTACCACGCCAAAAAGCACATAAGTTCATCATTCACCATCCTTCTCAAGTTTGTTCCTTGCCTTGAAATGAACCTTCTGTAATCAGACAAAAAGAATGATATAATGGCAGTTTTGTATATCGTTATTCTTCCCCCTCGACTTACGACGTGACTGTTCTATAATTCTGGTAGTTTTCTCTCCAGTTTAGCTTCATATAATGTTTAAAGAGTGTCTTGGGCGTTTTAAAACTGTGAGAGAGATGGGCTGCATAAGGTTTTCTGTAGCATTTGTAAGTTCTGCCTTTCCATTTCTATGGATATATTGTAGGTGAATTTCGGGGCTTGACTAGTTCCGTTCTTGAGGACATCATATTGACGCTATCCTGTTTTAGAGTGTAAGATGGCTTGGAGGACTGATTTTTATGTATGTGAATGTTTTTTTTAAGGTAAACTGGAGTGCTCTGATGGTGGTGCAAGCTCCCCATGCTGATACTGAGTCTCTCTGTGTCTTGTAATTAGTGTGTGTAATGAAGATTCGCCCACCTCCTGTTTGTGGCTTCTTTACCAAAACTATCTGTAAACATACATTTTAAAAAAAAAAAACATTTTTTTAATTTCTGTCCAGGACATGATTACTGACAGGTGATTTTTAAATTTGGTCATGGCTTCTGAAACGGGACTATAATGTAAATAACATAGAGACTTGGCTCTTTCATGCTGCTCCGAGACACACCCTATCTGTTTGACTGTTTGAACAGCTGAACAGTCGGTAGAGATAAAGATGCTATCTATTTAAATTCTGTCATTTCATTAGTACAGAAAAACTCGTATTAAAAAATACATGTTGTGAGTGAGTGCTGCTCTGAAGAAGTTTCCACTCGGGCCATAATTCCACTCAGTGTCCAAGTATGAGAATATTCACCAAAACTAAAGACTATTCAACTAATGTTTACTCAGGGGCAAATATTTTGAAAATAGAGATCGTCAGGAGCTAAAGGTCCAAGCCCGTGCATAGAAAGATAATGAGTACAAAACAAATGGCAATGATCCACGGACCACTTGCCAGGTCTCCACAGCCAGATTTGGCCCACGGGGCAGCCAGCTGAATAGTCCTGGCCAGTAACATATTCTTTAATGAGAAGGATGAATTTGATTGGTTACCACATTTTTTTAAATTAAGCAACCATTGCGATTTTAACCTACTACACTACACTCAGAAAGGTACGAACTGTTGACCATAATTCTCTCTCTACCGCTGATTGTTTTTTTCTATTAAAGCTTTCCAGCAGTACCCCCACCCCCTTCCCCCCTGCCTCCCAAAGTTTAATCGAAGCCACTACCACTTTGGAAAACGCTGATCTAAGCAATCATGAGTCTGGCCTCACGTGCCAGGTGCACCACTGGCGTGTAAAGAAAGCTTTACTTTTGTTTTAAAATTTATTTTATTTTGTTTTGTTTAAACTTTCTTGTATGGTACCAGTGTCAAACTTTGAACCTAATTACAAATAATGAGTGCAAAATCATAATAATAGAGATGCTTTAAGAGAGCTTCAAGAGTAACAAAAAGATACTGACAGAAAACTTGGACTGAAACCAATCATACAATTCATTAAAGATGAGAGAGAGTTTGGCCATTTGACAAGAACACCACTGGCAAGACTACACAAATGACAGAACAATGACATCAAGAACAGCCTCACCAAAATTAAAATAAAGTTATTCAACAATTTATAAAGGACACACAAATGATTCTTACATTCCCAAACTCCAAGCACTTTCTGAGATAACTGAAGGAATAGAGGAAATTAAAAGTTAGAAAGATGAATATACTATACATACTTGGCTAAAATGTAAGGACTGAAAGCAAAGCAGAAAGTGAAATCATAGTATATGAAAATTTTTTGCCTCAAGCAAAACCTGCATTTTACAGGAAAAAGAATATTCTACTCAGTATGGCTGGTAAGAAAGAGATGTTTTCAGATCTACAGACAGCCAAATTTGATGAACTGATGTTAATCATGAGGTCAGAAGATGAGTGAGATTATAGTTGATTGTTAGTTCAGGTCCCAGTGTCACTGCAGATGTTTCTCCCCATAACTACTCTGTTCCTGTACCAGTGAAAATCACACAGAATGTCATTCACTGTCCTATTTGAAAAACTTGCGGGGAAAAAATCAGCAATAAGGTAGCAGCAGTCAAGGTGCCCACAACAGCAGTCCCACACCAGAATTGCAGTTCACTGTTGATGTAAGCGGTTAATTAAGAAAGCCGGCACTGTACACGCATTATGCAAGAAATTAGGTGGAAGCTGCAGTGCCCAACGTGCTGAGATACTGGCTCTGATAACATAATGTGAAGGAACAAATAAAGAAAATGTTTTTAAAAAAACATACACGGGCAGGCAACTACTCACATTGTCCTTGATCTACAGTCCAGTGGTAGACTGCCAGGTCAGTCACCATGGCGATGACATCTGCTGTCAGCCAGGTCCAGTAGATGACAGGGTCCTGGAACCTGACCTTACACACCAGCTGCTTGGACTCCAGGTTGAACACCTCAAACCTCAGGCCAGCTGTCAGAAACAAAGTCACAGATAACATAATGTCAAGTTACACAGTTGGCAGTTAACAGTAATGTAGTGATCATCACAGTTCCAGCTTTAGAGCAGACAGGTCACAACATAGCTGCTCTGTTTCTTCTTCATCTTCTTCTTCCTTAAGTCCATGCCGTGTGGCGTTACTAGTCATGTCTATCCACAACCTTCTTTCTTGTGTACTTTCAATCAACTCTGATACAGATGATTCTGCATGCCATGATATTAAGGTAAAGGTAAAGTCGGGAGATGTGAACCAGCGTCATTGCACACGGTTATAAACCATAAGTGCTCTGCCACCAGTACTGACAGCTGATAAGAAACTGTCCGCCTGTGTCACCATCTGCACTTAATTCTGTAGCTACAGCGACGTTCCTCCATTTACCCCAGAGTGTCAACTCTGGTACTCATTTCCTAGAGGCTGGGTGAACCCTGGGAACTGCCCGGTTTTGAACACTGACCATGGGCTGCAGCGAGTCGCAGATAGATTTAAAAGCGAGCCTCCTATCAACTTCGCTAATACGGCTCCCATGATGTCAAACTGTCCAGCATCTTTTCTTTCTGTCTCTGCTCCCCTCCAGCTTTCCCATTGTCACAATGTACTCCAGTTTTATTCTTCTCATTACAAGAACAAAAAATGTAGATTGTCTCTTTCTGATGTGGGTAATCAGTTCTCTTCGTGAGTCAGTTTCTTCTTTCAAGAGGTCATCATTACTCTTTTTATCTGCCTAGGGTATTCTCATCATTCGTTTACAAAACCACATCTCTGCAGCGTCCAAATAAGTGTTCACTAATCTACCAACCGTCCATGCTTCGTCCATTTTCATTATTTTGTAAAATGTTGCCTTTGCTTGAGCTGTTCTACATTTAACTTCTTTAATACATCTTCCTATGCCAGCAAAAATCACATAGAATGACTCTGAATGTCCTTGATAAAAATAATTAAGATAGGGTGCAGTCTAAGCAAAGCCAGTAGCGTACACACTCAGTAAATGCATAAGACAGCCATCAAATGGGTCAACACTAACAGTCTGACACTAAAAATGTGGTCCACTGTCAATGACAGCAGCAGTTACAACAGATCAGTAGCTGCACACGCAATTCATTGCAGAAGACACCACCAGTACTCTGGCAACAGGTCACTCTCCATTTTCTGAATCTGCAGTTCAAAACACAAACCATGTTGAAAGCTAACATAGGAGATAACAAATACTGGACACATCACTGGAGACATCTCTGGACACATCACTGGAGACATCTCTGGACACATCATGAGGAGACAAGTACAGAGATTCACCAAACAGGCGCTGAAACGAGAAACAAATGAAATGAAGAAACAAAGATACCCAAGGGAAGCCCTAGGATCAACACTGATGAGAGAGGGCAAAGGTTCTAACTGCATTTCATCCATGATATCCAAGGGACAGCACAAGATAAAATGGAGAGAATAGACCATATACATGGGGCATACACATAGCAGACCTTACGTGACATATTTGGATGATGATGATGATGACCATGAGATAAATCGGCACTCAAAACGTGATATGGTCAAGAAATACCAGAGTGAATGCCATTATTTCTCAGGACATTTCCTGGTACACATTTTAGGTTAGTTCAACCTGGAAGTCCTAAGTCAATTATTCCTTCTCCTCCACTTATGGCCCATGAGAAAAAATACTTTACAACAGGAAATAAAGAAAGATAACTAAACTAAGCTGAAAGGGTTAAAAAGTTCCAGGAACTGATGAAACTGAGTGTACATTATCTATTTTTCACATCTGTATAATAATTAATGTACCTAAATTGAATTTTGCATTTGTTGTAGAATTTTTGTAACCGGTTTGAATGAAAATAGTGTTTAAAATTTAAATTCGGTTTATGACCAGTTTGACTTGTGACCTGTTGGTAGGAAATGAACTCGGGAATAAGCCAGTTGGCAACCTGAGTATATTATTCTGCTCATCGCAAGTGGCTCTGATAATCATCTGTCTACAGCCTTCTGTCTTGTGTAATGTCAATCAATTCAGGCACAGATGTCTGTTCTTTCATGCATTGGAACAACTCACGGTTGTGAACGCAAAACCCCACTTCACGCCATCTTACGAAATTTATTGACCTTCTATTCATGCGCTGTGACCTTTCCCATGGGCTAATGTATCTTCTAGGAGTGTCAGGATAAGTTGTGAAAGATGGTTCGAGGCCCGACATGGTAGATTTGCGCATGTGGTTGAATCTCTGTTTGGTGAATCTCTGTACCCAGGCTGCCAGGGTGGGGTTAGGGTTTGTGTCAGGCTTAGGGTTAGGGTTTGTGTCAGGCTTAGGGTTAGGGTTTGTGTCAGGCTTAGGGTTAGGGTTTGTATCCGGCTCAGGGTTAGGTTATTTCTATTATGGCTAAGACATTTTTAATTCTAGTTTTCACATCTGTAAGACTCCAAACTGAAGATTGTCCTTAATCTTCAAACTACAAAGCAAGAAACTTTGACAGCAACTATAAAACCCACAGTTGGTGGGGGGAAAAATGGAGCAGTGGAAGCTGTGAGCTTTACAGATGCAGCATTTGTGTGGCATGGAACAGACAACACTTAAAAGATTGAAAAAACACAAGACACCACTGGAAGATACAGCAGCCCATGGGAAAAGTAAAAAAATCTTGTGCGACAGTGTGAAGTGGGATTTTGTTGTACACATGCCTTAATACTAGGCTGTCCAACATCATCTTTCTTAGTCTTCTTCTGCCTATGCAACTTTCCTACTGTCACAAAACACTCTAGTTTTCACCTCCACACAGCAAAAAAAGGATTTAGAAAAAATAAATCACCAGAATGAAGCTTCATGGAGTCTTCACGTCATGCAACAGCCTGACATCTTCATTTTCAGATTAGCCAGATTCATCAATGTAAGCCACTCAGTATAACATTCTAGAAGTTTATGCTCATGACTTCTTCTTCATCACATGCACTGTATGTTACCTCCAGCAGAAAGTTATGCTTGTTTGTCCACTTCTTGACTTTATTCTTGTTCCAGAATGTGTGTTGTGTGTGCATATCTGTTTAACAGATCTGGCTTCTCTTATGACATGCTTATTAGGGAGGCAGTGGGTTTATTTTCCACCTTTCCACCCTGAATCAGGCCTCAGAACCCACACAGAGAAATTCAGGGTTGTCAAACACTGACACATCTGTGGGAAAATGAAACAATTTTCTTAAGACAGCCATCAAGATTTACGATACAGAATCAGGAAGGACAGAAAGCAACCAGTGGTGGAACAGACCTTTCAGAGCAATCACAGGGTAGCATGGATTCATCAGCACTGAATCTGCACTTGTGGACCCTGCATAAGATATAGTTCCCTCTATTGGGCTTAGGATCGTCACCTGCAGACAAAACAAGCAACTAACTTGAATTAACCTTTCATTTTCTAAACACCAAAATAAAACACACCAAAAAACGAAAAATGCTTTACAAAGTCTGTGTATGAAAGGCTTACATTAGAGATCACAGAAAAAGCTCTGCACAACATGGTGGAATACTGATGCATGATAAGAAGGCAGGCGTGGTTGGTGCCTTGTGGGAGAGCTTGTACAGTTCGGAGGAGCAGATGGATCACTAAAGTCTGGTGAGAATGATGCAGGGGGGACTGGCAGATGCTCGAATTTCAAAGAAAAGGCAAGACGGACGTTTAATCAGAATGCTACTAGCACCATTAGTATCGTAACTTTTCGCTGGCTGCTGAAGATGGGGACGGAGCGCTTATAGGAATTCCCCGAGTGCTGTGATATCGGTTCTTGAATCAAATCACAAATCAAATCCTCTTGTACAATAAATACAACAAAACATACCAAACTGCAAGTGCTAGCAAATGAATTGAACCATATCTTAAAAATATATAAAACAAATGAAAAGTGGACCAGCAAACTTCACAACCTTAACAAAATACAATCAGAGAGTGAACATTGCAGCTACAAACAGAGAGTGAACATTGCAGCTACAAACAGAGAGTGAACATTGCAGCTACAAACAGAGAGTGAACATTGCAGCTACAATCAGAGAGTGAACATTGCAGCTACAAACAGAGAGTGAACATTGCAGCTACAAACAGAGAGTGAACATTGCAGCTACAAACAGAGAGTGAACATTGCAGCTACAAACAGAGAGTGAACATTGCAGCTACAAACAGAGAGTGAACATTGCAGCTACAATCAGAGAGTGAACATTGCAGCTACAAACAGAGAGTGAACATTGCAGCTACAAACAGAGAGTGAACATTGCAGCTACAAACAGAGCCTTCATCAGCACATTTCATAAATCAACAAAACCACATAAGCAGACACGAAAATACACAAAATTACTTAACTGATGTATTTCTGATAGCCGATACTTTGTGTGTGTCTTCTGAATCAAGGATATGTAAAATCACTCTTTCTCTCCCCCCCCCCCCCCCCCCCCCCCTTTCCAACCCAACTTATAACATCCCACTGCTAAGAGCCATGACGAGAGATTAGATGAAACTGTGTTGACAGTTAAGTAACCCAAACATATTGGTACCAAAGGTAAAAATCAAGCCGTTTTCAATAGACCAATTTAATGCTAATTCTCTATCACCATATAACTGACAGTGCGCTAGTCATGTTTCTACATATTGCAGACAGACCCTAGTTCTGGCCAAGTTAATGTCTTCTTCTTATGTTTTTCTCTACTCCTGCAATGCCTGGTGGCATCAGGGTGCAAAGAGATCTCTGGAACAGGCCCATCTGTTCGCTTCGTATATAGTACTTTTCAGTGTCTTTGAAATGTCTGCGGTCCATCTTCTGCGTGGTCAACCTCTGGCTCTGTTACCTCTGTATCAGTATAACATTGCTCTCTGTGGTGCCCTGTCTGATGCCAATCTTGTTAGATGGCCAAACCATTTGATATGTTGTTTAACCTATAAAGTTCATTATTGGTTCTGTGCTGACTCTCCTCCTGATATCATCGTTCCAAAGTCGATCTTTCCTCGTTACACCTTGCATAGTAGGTAAACATTTCATTTCTGTAGTGACTATTTTCCTTCAGTCTTCTGAAAACAGTGTTATGTTTGTTATTGATAGCACAGCGTTGGTAGAAATATTGTGTTTAACAGTAATCTTTTAGTGTTTTTATTCACATGCTTGCATTTTAAAACTGGTGCCATTTGGCCGAAAACTTGATTGGCTTTCTCTGTTAATTCTTTCAAGTTAACATTTCTGTGAAAACAAAGCTATGTGTATCAGTGGAGGACGTGTCACACCTCTGTCTCCACAGAAGCCTGTAGCCTTATCAACTGACAACAACTTTCAGCGAGAACAGCAAGAGCAAGAAGGTAATTCTTGATAATTACCACAGCTCTTCTAGATGAGAAGTCTGCCCGAGTGTCATGTCGAACAGAGATCCATTTGTCTGACAACATGGTTACTCGTGTCCAGGTAACCTGTTCGTTAGGAATTCCAATGTGAGATAACTGAAATAATAATAGTATCATATAAAAAAGTTATATTATCACTTCACCCAGTTATATTATCACTTCACCCAGTTATATTATCACTTCACCCAGTTATATTATCACTTCACCCAGTTATATTATCACTTCACCCAGTTATATTATCACTTCACCCTGTTATATTATCACTTCACCCAGTTATATTATCACTTCACCAAGTTATATTATCACTTCACCCTGTTATATTATCACTTCACCCAGTTATTCATTCATGTTTTTGTTCTTCTTTTTCATTTTAGCATTCACTGGCTGTAAACTTTGGTAGAAAGTTCTGGTTGTTTGTGCATGTCTGGACTTTGGTTATGTTCTAGAACTTGAGTTCATGCACATCAGGTTAACGGTTCTGTCTTATCTGTACACAGACTGTTGAATACCTCATCTTTCAGATGGACTCCAACTTCAAAGGAATCACCTCTTAGTTACTTTTATGACATGCATGAAAAGGGAGCAGTGGATCTATTATTTCCCTCTCCAAAATGGGGAACCTACACAGATATATCATGATTAAAACTTTCTTGTAAAAAGGCTAACTCTTTTTCAGCCAGGTTGCTATCTGCAACTCAAACAGTCACATTCTATATGGAAATCCAACAGGGCAAATCCCATATACCCCATTCTTCTTCTTTTCCTTCTTCATGCTTAAGAGGGAAGTTGGCATTTTTTTGTTGTGTACAGTAAGCCTGTAATATCTGTAGAGTCTGAGTTGTGTTTTGTTTCTCATTGTTTCATGATGAAGGCTTCTCACCAAATCATCCTTTATTTGTTTACTGCATTGTGTTCTGTAAAGCTGACACATGTTTTGTGTTTCACCAATTATTTTTTCTACCGGGAAGTGAAAGGCAGCTAAAGGGATACCATCCATTAAGAAACCAGGCACATAAATGAGGGAGGAAACACAGATAATAAAAAAAAAAGAACACCAAACAACTAAATGATTAATACAAAATAATCGGGTTGGACAGGGGCTAAATCACACGAGGTGCTGCAACAGGACCAAGGCTTATACCGATCAAGGCCTATCTCCACAGCCATCCTAGAATTCTAGAAAAAGTCCTCGACTGGGAGCCTGGCCAATGTAGAAAAGACTGACGTTTCCTGCACAGCTAGAATATGTCTGCCTGAAAGGCAAGTAACCAACAGTCTGCACACAAAGATGCCAGATCTGTAAAACAGGTGTGCATGTAAAACAAGTCCTGGAACAAGACTGAAGTCCACAAGTGTAAGAATAACTAGAACTTTCTGCCTGAGTTTACAGCCAGTGAACGCCCCCCCCCCCCTCCCCCTCCATTTCAACAAAAAAGAAGAAAACAGAAAATAAGTGTTCTACCTGCACTAATTCATTGATTGTGATGGGCGGGCCTCTGTTCGAATCTTCACCAGTGTCCCCAGGAGATGGACTGGGAGTTGAACGAGCTATATCCACATTAGAGTCATCCATGGTTTAGACAGACGCCACCAGTTGCTCACAATCACAAATTCAGAAACTACTCTGAAGGATATAGGGCGCTGCTCGGACACAACAACACCCTTGTTCATAACTGTACAACGAAACCATTGTTTCGGTGGCAGGAATTTTCAGTCACACCACTGCAAACGTCTGCTAGGTTTAAGTTTAATAAGGTTTACTACGCAGGGTTCGAATTAGAAACAATTGAGCTTTTATCTGAAATAATTTGGCTGTTATTCTGCAAGACCACAATCTTTCCTGTTACGTATTTTAAAATTCACAAGAGAATTGACACCCTCTGCTATGTTATGGATGTTCGAAATTTACTAGCAGAAGCCACGGTCAGTATTCAGTATGATCTGACTAGTTCGATAGCAGTAGCCTGGTCTGAATGTAGGGGCGTTTTATTACGGCTCCATTGTAGTAAAACTACAATTAAGCCGCATTACTACGTTTTTACACATCTGAAAGTCACAGAAATCACAGAGTTGTGATGTCTATGTGGCTGCAGACTGAACCATGGACAACCCTGGGCAATTGTCCAATATTAACGAAAACAATGTAGCCGGAAACTTGTAGGTCGTGAATATAAAGTTTCGTCTTTTATAAATTTAATTTAGCTTCTTCTTCTTCTTCTTCTTCTTTTTCTTCTTCTTTTTCTTCTCCTACTTCTTCTTCTTCTTCTTCTTCTTCTTCTTCTTCTTCTTCTTCTTCTTCTTCTTCTTCTTCTTCTTCTTCTTCTTCTTCTTCTTCTTCTTCTTCTTCTTCTTCTTCTTCTTCTTCTTCTTCTTCTTCTTCTTCTTCTCCTACTTCTTCTTCTTCTTCTTCTTCTTCTTCTTCTTCTTCTTCTTCTTCTTCTTCTTCTTCTTCTTCTTCTTCTTCTTCTTCTTCTTCTTCTTCTTCTTCTTCTTCTTCTTCTTCTTTTTCTTCTTCCTCTTCTTCTTCCTCTTCTTCTCTTCTTCTTCTTCTTCTTCTTCTTCTTCTTCTTCTTCTTCTTCTTCTTCTTCTTCTTCTTCTTCTTCTTCTTCTTCTTCTTCTTCTTCTTCTTCTTCTTCTTCTTCTTCTTCTTCTTCTTCTTCTTCTTCCTCTTCTTCTTCTTCCTCTTCTTCTTCTTCTTCTTTTTCTTCTTCTTCTTCTTCATCTTCTCTTCCACCTTGTACCTCATCGAAGTGTCGGTGGGAGATGTAATGTTCTTTGATGAGCTCTGTCAAGAGCACTATTAAGAATGATGTTCATTTCTGTAAGGCTGTTCTTAATGCTATTACTCCATATTTTCCGGGGTCTTCCACTCGCTCTATACCCGTTGTAACGTTTTAGTGTGGCTCGCTGTGGCAGATAGTACCAGGGCATCCTTGTTAGGTGTCCAACCCACTTCATTTGTTGTTCTTTGATGACCTGTAAGACTGGCTTTATTCCCAGCATTCGTCTGATTCGAATTGTCTTTCCTTGAAACTCCTGCAGCTCTTCTAAGGCATTTCATCTCTGTTGTCACAATTTTACGTTAACTGGAGGATGTAAATCTTGAATTTAAAGAAAACGAAAATGATGTCCACAGATAAAACTAGCTGTGACCCAAAATAACAATAAATGATGAAGAAATTGAAAATGTCACAAACTTTGAATATCTAGGCTCTATAATAAACAACAATGGAGACTGTTCAATAGAAATTAAAAGGAGGGTGGTCATAGCAATGCAGAGATTGAACAGCCTTAAAAGTCCAAAATTATAATTTTGAGAGCATGCATCTTCCCTGTGGCTACATACGGATGTGAGTCGTGGACCATCTCTCAGTCTCTGAGAAAGAGAATAAGGGCTTTTGAGCTGAAATGCTATAGAAAGATTCTCAGAATATCTTGAACAAAGAAGATGAGAAATATTGACATCTTAAAAGATCTGAACATCAAGGAATATTGGCTAATAAACAGCATCCTTTCTTGAAAGCTGAAATATGTTGGTCATATCAAGCGCCACGACGGATTGGAAAAAATTATAGCAGAAGGCATGGTACCAGGAAGGAGGGACAGGAGCCGACCAACACGAAGATGGGCACAGGATATAAGTGACTCCTTGAGTGTGAAAGTGCATGAGGCAGGAGAACTAGCGAGAGACCGAGTTTCTTTCAGGCAGACTGTGACTTCAAGGGACCTGCTACATGATGATGTTACAATGTTACGTTCATTGGAGGATGTAAGTGCCCACGTTTGGCACTGATAGCATCGTTTTTGGCCAAAAAATAGTTATGATAAGATTCACTTTAGTGCTCCGAGGTATCTGCTTGTGAGTCAAAAGAGGAGAAAGTTGGCCCATTACTTGATTAGCTTTGGCACATCTCGAGCATTATAATGTATCTGTCCAGTTTTCTTTAATTTAGCAATAGGTTTAAAATTATTATCCTGAACACGTTTGTGAGATTGAACAATAATGACTGACTGGCAGGCTGACTGAATGAATTTGTGAATGAATTAATGATTGGCAACCCTGGTGGATCGTGCAGTGCCAGGGATTATTTTCTTGTTCTGCAGTACTGTAAGTCCATGTAGGCTAATTTGGCACTACTGTAACAGACACATACGTCGAAGACATATTGGGATATTACCAAGCGGGTTTAGGACAAAATAGATCAACAATAGATCAGATATTTATTTTACAGCAGATAGTAGAGCGAAACTAGGAATATAGAAAAGATGTGCCTAACGTTTTTTGTGGAATTAAAAAAAGCGTATGATAGTGTACGTAGAAACAGCAACCTGGCGGTAAATAAACAGGCCGAGGCATTGGAGAAAGCACTAATAGACAGGGATTGAATCTGCTTGAATGATGGCAGGCCCGCAAGAGAGCCCGACAGAGAAGGTGATACTGACAGTGCCCTCAATCTCAGGCTGGTCTCTCCTACTATGAATGCACTGCCGGTGTAGCGTACTGGGACATCATGGAAGCGACCACCTTCCATGATGGACTCTAATCTAAAAAAAAAAAAAAAAAAAAAAAGAATTTTCACAAGGTATCAAAGACCAGAAATTACTTTCCAGTACGCTGCACATCAGCCTAATGTAATTTGGCGTCTGCGAGACAGGTCACACAGAACACCGGGAAAGAAGAAAGCTATCTTTCAACAAACCCCATGGTGGACACCTGAAGTCGCAGAAGCCTGGATAGAGAAACGAGGTGACACCAAACACTGAGAGAAATGCAGAGTCTTCGAATTTTTCTGAGGCTCAGAAACAAGACATTAAACACAAAAAAGACAGACTCACTGAACATTTAAAACAACTCGCAGAGGAGTCTAAGCACACAATGTGGGAACATTTTTGCCAAAAAAAAAAAAAAAAACGGAGGCAAACAAATCTCTGTTATGCCCGAGCTAAAGATGGACAACGGGGTGATTTTACAGTCGGATGAAGACAAAAGCAAGGCTATCCTGCATAGATTTCTCCTGCAGACGGAAAAGACAGGGAAGAGATGAAACAGAGATTACACAATATCCACATGGCTGAAATGGTGAAATAAAATGATACAGTATACATCTCAAATGATTTCATCAGAGCAACACTGATGACCTGTCTAGAGACAGCTCCAGGGCCTGATGGTATTAGATACAGCGACTTCAAAAGCATCGAGGAGACAGATATGGATGAACTATCTACGATATTGAACAATACCATGAAAACTGGCATTATCCCTGATGACTGGCTCCATAGCTACATCAGACCGGTTCCTAAGCCAGGAAAAGACCACACAAGAATAAATGGCTACAGAATCATCAAACTCCAGAACACTATTGGAAAACTCATGGAAATAATCGTGGCCCAAACGTTGTCCCAAACATTGGAGTCAGGTGGTCTATTCCCCGCTACACTAGGTGGTTACCGACCAAAAAGAGAAACATGGAGCAATACTGCAGTATTTGCCTACGACACATACGGGGGTTTCCAGGAGGGAATGGAAACGGCTGCAACGATATTGACTTAAAAGTTGCGTACAACAGCGTCCCATACAACAGGCTCATCAGACTGCTGTTGGGTATGCAGATAGAAAAAAAAATTGGTCGACTGGATCGCTGCAGCGCTATTCGAAAGAACAGTGTCGCTTTGATGTGGTGAATGGGCATCCAAACCTCAACGCGCCCTAATGGATCTGCCCCAGGGATCACCATTGGATCACCATTGTCGCCTGTGCTCTTCAATGTGTACACATAATTTTTTTCAGACAACATCTGGTTAAAGCAAGGCGATGCTCTGTCCCCACTTCTTTTCAACTTGGCTCTGGATAATTATATACGGAAATTGAAAGAAGAGTGCGCTATTGGAGAAACTACAAGAATACTTGATTATACAGGGACATTGATTTCATTGGAGAAAATGAACTAGAGACTGTAAAAACACGGACTGTCTTTAAAAAAAAAAAAAACAGCTCACAAAAATAGGACTAGTTATCACTCAAGATAAGATTGAATACATGCCAATAACAATACAGGTCATGTATATAAACTCAAGCCACATACAAGCTGATAATGTGAAAATCAAACTAACGGAAACCAAAAAAAAAAAAAGTAATTGGGTGCAAACTTCAACTGCTCCAACATAATGAGAGAAGAAATACAACCAAGAATACAATCTGGAAAGAAAATATACCATGCCCTTCCAAAAAACTTTCAATTGCTGCCTTTTGCAGTGTAAGCAGGTGGTCTTTGAGCCTGAAGATTTAGGACCGTGTAAGCAGGTGGTCTTTGAGCCTGAAGATTTAGGACCGTGTAAGCAGGTGGTCTTTGAGCCTGAAGATTTAGGACCGTGTAAGCAGGTGGTCTTTGAGCCTGAAGATTTAGGACCGTGTAAGCAGGTGGTCTTTGAGCCTGAAGATTTAGGACCGTGTAAGCAGGTGGTCTTTGAGCCTGAAGATTTAGGACCGTGTAAGCAGGTGGTCTTTGAGCCTGAAGATTTAGGACCGTGTAAGCAGGTGGTCTTTGAGCCTGAAGATTTAGGACCGTGTAAGC